GCCCCCCCCGGACATATCCCTCGACGCTTTTAAGAACGAAGCACATAGAGACAAAAGGAACCATTCAAATTCAATGAGATACAAACGAGTGACCCGGTTGGTTCTACAGTCTAGCTCAGATATCTGATCATCTTTACGAAAGGGATGTTTCGTTTTCTTTTTAAACAAAGACATTGAAGATGATTTACATCTATTCACATCTTGCCAGTGCATGTATTTACAAAATTTACCTTTTTTCATTTCTGACTTGGTAATGACGTCCCGATGACATCGAAAAGTCGTTTTTAAACGTTCATATTCAACTGTGTAGCATAAAAAAATGCAGTGCCTTTTAGGCTCACTATGTTTTGCAGTTCCTTGGATTTGCTTCGGGAAAAACCTTTTACATAAAAATTTTATTTTGATGTATCTTTGGTAATTTCATTTTTCTCTGTCTGGCATGTTGTTATTATTCACCGAAGGCGAAGATAATGTTGCTGATTATTTAACTCGGAGACAAAACCGAGATCCAACAAGGACGAATGGAAAAGTTGCTGTCGTTGATGTTGTTCTTTTTTTTTTAATTCTTTAATCGACTGGATGATGTAGACATTGCAGATTGATCTAAACGAAGTGATGGTATGAAAGAGGGAAATACGAAAATTTGTGGCATGATGTGTCGTCTTTGACTGAGTTGAATGAAGCATGTCAGGAAAGCGAACGAGGGAGAGTTTTCTTCCAAAATATTCATTGACCCTGATGCGAATGAATTTTTTAGTGTTATTCAGTAAGGTAAATATTCAAAAATGCTTGAAAACCCTTCGCGGTAAGCCAGCAAAAATTTGACATAAATACGCTTACGCCTATTGTTACTGTGCATCCTTACTGCGAACGTCGTGCCACGTCGTACATCAAGCGTGCGCGCTAACGAAGAAATATAAGTAAGTATAGCACTTGGCACCGGGTGCGCTATACTAACTTCGCCTGCAATTTACTCTCTTAAGCGGCCTTCACACGGCAAACTAAAGTTGGCAAACTCAAGTTGGTGTGTATGAACGGCACAAATACAGTCGGCAAACACGTTGGCAAATTGAAAGTGAAGAATACTCCACATCACGTTGGCAAACTGCTGGCGACAAATAAAACTTGCCTCTATTCTCGCCAACTTTTTCACCAACTTTTTCGAGTTGGTAAACTCTATCTGACGTGTGAACGATTGGCAAACATGTCTTATTAACTGTCAACCAATCAAAGCACGCGCTCTATTCACGTGATTTATTTGCGTGACACTTCACAAAATGATGTGAAGTATATATGAAATAATTCATATTTGAACTGCGGTTGTAGATGATAGTGAAGAATGATCATCGCAGTAAATTTTCCAATTTAAGCAATTGGAAAGAAGAAGCCTGAAAAAAATCAGGGCTTC